GTCACCGTGGATTTGTTAAACAGATTCACTGAGAAAAAATACTGTTAAGTATTTTGGCAAAACCCATTTCAACTGCACCTGTCTTTAAGAAGCCACATGTTTAGATCATAGAACTCCTACAGTGTGGAAGTAGGCCATTCAATCCACACTGACCCCTCCAAAGAGCATCCCATCCAGATCCACCCCCCCTACCCTACCTTGACACTATGGCACAAGATTGATTCTGCTGGCCCTGATTGCCTCAGCCAGTCTTTTCTGCCCAGAACCTCCTGACTAGCCCATTACCGCCAGACCACACTGCCTGGATGGAGAGCAGCAAACTGCTGGTGCATCATGGGAGCCCATGCCCACGACTGACGCTGTCTGTCACTCTCTCTGAACCGCGCTCCTGGGTCACATCCAAGGGTAACACGCCCAGCTTCCTGTTCGGGACACCCTGTAGTCTGTTCAGTTGCGGGGGTGTGCAATGAGGGTGAAAATCTCAGGAGCGCCCGAGTACGTAGGCATCACGCCAGGCAGCTGAGCACACATTAACAGAATGGGTATCCCTCCCTGTGGATGAGGGTCAGCACCTGGTCTGTGGGTGCCTTAGTCACTACGTGGGTGCAGCCTATCCTTAGGGAAACTGGCAACATCCCTGAAACCTTGGCTCCTCTCCAGGCTGGATGAGCATGACTCCAAATTTATTGGCTGGTCCTCCCAAGCAGGGCACCTGTCACCAGCTTGATGTGATGATGTGCAGCTCTTTGGGAGATACCAACCATGCCCCTGGTCTGATCCTGGAATGACCTGGAGCTGCCCATGGCATCAGGTGAGGACCGGGGCTCATTCTGATCTGTGCCAACCTCTGCTGCTCCGAAATCTGGGGTTAGCTCATTAAGTCACAATATTAGTGAAATAGGGATATAAATGGGACTTCCATCATCTGATTTTAATACCTGGGACTTCCATAGACTGAGATGATTTTCTGAAAGGGATTAAAAAAGACACTGACTGTCAAACAACGCAGTGATCACCTCACCATAGGTCGTGTAACACACATCACGAAACCGTCATTAGACAAGAACCAGTCCGAACCAAAATTAATGTCTATTTTTAATCAAGAATCTGAAGCTAGTAAAGTTTGAAAAAATCTGTGTGTCTCCTATTCGACTGAAACCTTTATGAGAATTTCTCTTCTTGGAGCCAAAAAAACAAAGCACCTGAAATTAAAGCCTTCCGAGATGAGGCATTCCACTCCTGGACATCCTGGATGTCCTCGTTTTTCAAGGACCGCAACTTCCCCTCCATAGTGGTCGAAAACACCCTCAACCGTGTCTCTTGCATTTCCCGCAACTCATCCCTCACACCCCCTCCCCGCAATAACAACCAAACAGAATCTCCCTCGTCCTCACGTACCACCCACCAACCTCCGGATTGAACACATCATCCTCCGACACTTCTGCCCTCTGCAATCTGACCCCACCACCAAAGACATTTTTCCCTCCCCACCCTTATCTGCTTTCCGGAGGGACCACTCTCTCCGTGACTCCCTTGTTCGCTCCACACTCCCCTCCAGCCCCACCACACCCGGCACTTTTCCCTGCAACCGCAGGAAGTGCTACATCTGCCCCTACACCTCCCCCCTCACCCCCATCCCAGGCCCCAAGAAGACCTTCCACATTAAACAGATGTTCACCTGCGCATCTGCCAATGTGGTATACTGTATCCGCTGTTCCCGTTGTGGCCTCCTCTACATCGGGGAAACCAAACAGAGGCTTGGGGACCACTTTGCGGAACACCTACGCTCGGTTCGCAACAACCAGCTGCATCTCCCAGTCGTGAACCATTTCAACTCCCCCTCCCACTCCTTGGACGACATGTCCATCCTGGGCCTCCTGCAGTGCCACAGGGATGCCACCCGAAGGTTGCAGGAACAGCCCCTCATATTTTGCTTGGGAACCCTGCAGCCCAATGGTATCAATGTGGATTTCACAAGCTTCAAAATCTCCCCTCCCCCTACCGCATCCCAAAACCAGCCCAGCTTGTCCCCGCCTCCCTAACCTGTCCTACCTCCCACCTATCCCCTCCTCCCACCTCAAGCCCCACCCCCATCTCCTACCTATTAGCCTCATCGCCGCCTCTCGACCTGTCCGTCCTCCCTGGACTGACCTATCCCCTCCCTAACTCCCCACCTACACTCACCTTTACTGGCTCCATCCCCGTCTCTTTGACCTGTCTGTCTCCTCTCCACCTATCTTCTCCTTTATCTTCTATCAGCCTCCCCCCCTCTCCCTATTTATTTCAGAATCCCCTTCCCCTCCCCCATTTCTGAAGAAGGGTCTAGACCGAAACGTCAGCTTTCCTGCTCCTCTGATGCTGTTTGGCCTGCTGTGTTCATCCAGCTCTACACCTTGTTGTCTCAGATTCTCCAGCATCGGCAGTTCCTACTATCTCTCAAGCACCTGAAATTATCCACTTTAAGGACAAGGAGCCCTGACATAGGAATACATGAACGTGTGTGTGTGTGTGTGTGTGTGAGAGACAGAAAGAGAGTGTGTGTGTGTGTGTCTGTGTGTGTGAGAGAGAGAGAGAGAATGTTTGTGTGTGTGTGTGAGAGAGAGAGAGTGCGTGTGAGTGTGGAAAAACTGGGGAAGTGGATTTGTGAATAGAGCAAGAGAAGGTTCTCTCTCTCTTTCTCTCTCATGAAGGGCAAAGCAACTGCTGGTAAAGTAAACTGGAGAAACATGCAAACACTGAGAGTTAAAACATAGGTACAATCGCCATGGCTGCAAATGATCTTAGACATCCTGAACCAATTAGTCTCAGGTTAAAATATAACACCAAGAATATCCTAATGACTTTAGACTGCAGACTGATTGTCCTTTAAAAAAAAGTATATGAGTCTGAAAGAGTTAATATCTGGAAGACTTTGATTAGGGCTCCTCACGATAACAATGTCAGAGTGTCTGAGGCTTGGAGACCTGGAGCAATACGGATAAAAGTACACCTCTTGTTTATTGTCCAGCTCTTTGAGATCTCTACAAGTTAGACAAAAGGCAAATGCGTCAGTAAGCCACAACAGTGGGATGACATTAAAGTGATAGAGGATATCAATTGTAGCAGACTCATGAGTAAGCCTGAGGCTGAGGTAAAAGGTTCTTGTCACTGGAGAAACAGAGGACTGAGTCTGTGAAAGACAGCTCAGATGGGTAAAGCTCAGTTAGTCTCTTGCTGTGGGCAGGGAGAAACACACAGGAGTTAAGATTGTCCCAAAACAGCTCTCTGGAAAGGTTGAACAAGCTGGGGCCCTTGGTCCTAGGAAGGGGAAGGCTGAACAATGACTCAAAGCTATGAAGAGCTGGACACCGTTAGCATGGAGACTTTCCAACTTCTTTGGGGTGTCCATAAATACAATGGAAGTCAGGAACCAATCTTATAGGGAATTCAGGAGAAACCTCTTTACCAAGAGTCTAGCATAGTGAGGCATTGGTGAAGGCCATCAATGTGTTTAAAGGGAAATTCAACAAATAGGTGATGAAGAAAGGAACTGGAACAAGTTCTCTCCGATGCCATTGCCAATATTTATTCCAGAAAAATCAAATTGTTCCCACATGGGTTCCATATGGGAGCTTGCTAAACATTTTCCACGTTGCAACAGAGACTTGTCAGAACTGATTCATGATGGGCTCTCCCAGGAAGACAGTGGAAATGTTTTAGGGATATCTTTGAAACATCCCTGAGGAGGTCAAAAATCCCTGGGGAGTCCAAACATCCACAAGAAGGTCAATGTTCCTACTGATTCATGGGAGATCCCAGCCTGTGACTGACCAACCAAAATGTTGTATGGAATGCACAAACCACCAAACAACCCATTGTACCCAACCCTTCTACCCTCCCTTCCCCAAACACACACACTGAGATACACACACACTCACACACACATTCACACAGACACACACACATTCACACACACATTTACACAGACACACACACACATTCATACACGCATTCACACAGACACACACACACACATTCATACACGCATTCACACAGACACACACACATTCACACAGACACACACACACATACGCTCACACAGATACATACACACACACTCACACAGATACATACACACACACGCTCACACACACTAACAGATACATACACACACGCTCACACACACTCACACAGATACATACACACACGCTCACACACAGATACATACACACACACACACACACACACAATCACACTCACACAGATACATACACACACTCACATAGATACATACACACATACACTCACACACACACACGCTCACACACACACATATACGCTCACACACTCACACAGATACATACACACACTCACACAGATACATACACACATGCTCACACACACATTCACACAGACACACACATTCACAGACACATTTACACAGACACAGACACACATTCACACACGCATTCACACAGACACACACAGGCACTCACACACACACATGCTCATACACTCACAGAGACACACACACTCACATTCACACAGACACACACATTCACACACACACACATGCTCATACACTCACACAGACACACACACTCACATTCACACAGACACACACATTTACACAGACACACACACACACACACACACACGCATTCACACAGACACACACACATTCACACAGACACACACACACGCACTCACACACACACACATGCTCTCACACTCACAGACACACACAGTCACACACTCACACAGACACACACATTCACACATACAGTCACAGACTCACACAGACACGCACACACTCCCACAGACAGACATACACACGCTCACACATGCACTCCTGTGGACACACACACAGTCACACAGACACACATACACACATGCTCACACACACACACATACAAGCTCACACACACACACTCACAGACACACACACACTCCCACAGACACACACTCACACACTTACACATACACATACACTGACACAAGATATGTACATATACACAGACATATATGCATTTACACACACTTACACAGACACACACCCACACATATGCTCACACAGAGACACACTCACACGCTCAAACATACACTCAGAGACTCATATGCACTCACTTACACAGAGAGACAGATACACACACACACACACACACACACACGCGCGTACACAGTCTTCACATTGTGTGTTAGACTTATCATCATCCCAGAACCCATCAAATCTGAAAGCAAGACAGCCTCAATCATGAGGGACTGCCTGAGAAAGGAGACACTTCAAACTGTAATTCATCGCCTGTAAAGTGCTTTAAAGAGATAGTTATAAAAAAGTGCGATACAAATGTAAACCTTTTTAGTAGAAACTCACTTGTCCTTAATACAACAATGAGTTAGAAATAAAAAGTAATTATCTTGCAGATTTCTATTAACCTTAGCCTAAAATGCATATAGTAAAAGCATTGTGGACGTGAAATCGGACTTGGTGGCGATTCAGGATAGAATCACTTTGACCAACTAGTATATTACACATTATAGTATAATACAGTCAACGGTCAAAGGGACTGAACATTGGGCCAAGACAATGAGCAGGTGAGCTCAGCTGGGGCAAGGAGAGGTATATCAGATGGGGATATAAAGAGCAAGCAGGGTACAAAATGGGTGGGTGGGTGCTATCAAGGGCCAATGGATTATATGATGGGTGGGTGGATGGGAGGTGTAAGTGTTGGCAGAGAATGGGTAGATGGGATTATAATGGTAGATGGGGGTATTCAACGGGGTGGGTGAGGTTTATCAAAAAGATGAGGTATAATGACTTGGTGGGGTATGTGTCACATGAGAGGTGGGGTATATCAACTGGAAGTGGTACATTAGCAGGATGGAGTTTTTAACAGATTGACCATTTGGGCTGGCACAGTGCCTCAGTGGTTAGCACTGCTGCCTCACAGCGCCAGGGTCCTGGGTTCATTCCCAGCCTCAGGTGACTGTTTGTGTGGAGTTTGCATATTCTCCCTGGGTCTGCGTGGGTTTCCTCCGGGTGGTCCGGTTTTCTACCACAGTCCAAAGGTGTGCAGGTTAGGTGGATTGGCTGTGGGGAATTGCCCCAGTGTCCAGGATAAACAGCTAGGCGGGTCAGCCATGGGAAATGCAGGGATAGGGTAAGGCCTGAGTCTGGGTGGGATGATCTTCAGAGGTTTGTGGTGGACTGGATGGGCCAAATGGCCTGCTTCCACACTGTAGAGACTCTATGAGCTGGACTATCTAAGACAATTAGTCTGGTTGTAGATTGTGTGGTGTGTACAAGGGTGAGCAATTTGACTCTGGGTATTTTGCATCCTCCTCCATGTCCGATCTCACTCACTGTTTGGTGATAATATTATTGCTGCAGCATTGTGGGGTTTGGGGGGCCATGCCACTTCTTGCACTGCATGGGCCATGCCTCGTTCAGTCTATCTTCGCCACCAGGCCACTGATGAGTCTCTGCAGGGCCTCAGCTCGATCCTTTGAGGTCTGCAGCACCTCCGTGTGGTTGGCTTTCTGTTGGCTGCTGTAGTCTGTCACAACCTTGTTGGTGATGAGGGAGGTGCCAAACACTCGCAATCCGCAGTGACGAGCAAGGATCACCTCGGGCACTGTGCTCATTCCTACAGAGAGAGAGAAAAACACTATCCACGTGAGGCTGGAGATGAGTGCCCACCCAATCCAGGCTGAACATAAAAATTAGGAGCAGGAGTAGGCCATCTGGCCCATCGAGCTTGTTCTGGCATTCAACAAGATCATGGCTGATCTTATCGTGGCATCAACTCCACTTACCCGCCCGCTCACCTTAATTCCTTTACTGTTCAGAAATCTCTCTTTGCCTTTAAACATTCAATGAGGTAGCCTCAACTGCTTCACTGGGCAGGGAATTCCACAGATTCACAACCCTTTGGGTGAAGAAGTTCCTCCTGAACTCAGTCCTAAATCTGCTCCCCCCACTAATTCTGAGGCTATGCCCCTTCGTTCTAGTTTCACCCGCCAGTGGAAACAACCTCCCTGCTTCCCTTCCTTTCATAATTTTATATGTTTCTATGAGATACCCCCTTTATTTTTCTAAATTCCTGTGCAAATAGTCCCAGTCTACTCAATCTCTTCTCATAAGGCAACCTTCTCAACTCCAAAATCAACCTAGTGAACCTCCTCTGCACCCCCTCCAGTGCCAGTACATCCTTTCTGAAGTGAGGAGACCAAAACTGTACACAGTACTCCAGGTGTGGCCTCACCAGCACCCTGTACAGCTGCAGCATAACCTCCCTGTTTTTAAACTCCATCCCTCTAGCAATGAATACTAATCCAAGCTCTGATCCCTCCTTCTCTCTCTCTTTTTCTGAGGGGATTCAGGCAGCGTCAGCAAGGTTAATATCAGAAGTTTTGGGCTGTCTGTTATAAGGCAACCCCACCACAACAAAGTAGGAGACCATTCAGCCCACTGTTCTGGTGTTGGCCATTTGCCACATCTATCCCAGTTCCCCGCTCTTTCCCCATAGCCCTGGACATTTTTTTTATATCAACTACTTAATCCAATTCCCTTTTGACAGTTCCTATGGAATTTGCTTCCACTGTGCTTTGTAATTACCAATGTGCCTTTGTTGGAGACAGGAAACTTAGCTGCAGGAGTATTGTGGGTTTGTTGCTTAAAACTTATTTAAGGATCCCAAGGAACATAAGCTTATTTCCTCCATGTGAGTCTGATTGAGTATTAGGCCAAGCAAGCCAGTTTATCATTCAGGACTGACAGCTCAATCTGGGCCAGTGGAATTCTCCAGGGCTTTGAAATGGAAGCACCCACTGAGAGGGAGCGGACTAGGGAACAAGGACAGATCACTGTAGCCTATCCCACCAATATCCAAGTTCAAACATCAGAAAAGAAGATGATTCGAGTGTCAGGACGTCTGAGAACCTCTCTCCGGGAACTTTTCAAACTTGAGGCTCTGAGCAAACAAATAGTTTGAATCTATGAAGGCTGAAGACCTGTCACTGGGGAATAAATCAATTCAGCTTCTGGAAGGTGTTTCTATTTTTGTGAAGGACAAAGGCACATCCCACCCAGCCAGACCTGCAGAGCTTTCTCTAACATCTGGGGCCTGTGCCTGATAAATTAGGTCATGGTTTTGAAAGGGTTAATATTCACGTAGCATTGGCTCCGCCCATTCTATGTCATGCACACACCGTGGATGGAGATATGGAGCTCTATTCTAGCTTTCAGAGGGAGCAGATCTATCTGTATCAACTCACTAAGTAATCATATCTGACCAAATTGGGTGGCACAGTGGCTCACTGTTGCCTCACAGCGCCAGGGACCTGGGTTCAATTCCACCCTCGAATGACTGTCTGTGTGGAGTCTGTACATTCTCCCTGTGTCTGTGTGGGTTACCTTCTGAGTTCTCCAGTTTCCTCCCACAGTCCAAAGATGTGCAGGCTAGGTGGATTGACTATGGGAAATGCAGGGTTACAGGTATAAGGTGCATCTGGGTGGGGTGCTATTTGGAGGGTTGGTATGGGCTGAATGGCCTGCTCCCACAATGTAGGGATTCTAAGTCAAAATTATGTAACTGGTAGCAGTATTTTCCGACTCTCGATTTTGGCCATGTTCCCAAGGATCTTATACACAGCTTGTTACTGTTTTATCCCAAAGGTTTTCACCAAAGTTGTTTCTCTGTTGTTTAAGGTGTTGTCTGCACTGCATTTACCCTAATGGCCTTTGATCTATTCACCAAGGTACTGAATAGCCTCACAAGGGGTTCAGTGAAGTGGAGTTTGACTGATGGACAGTTTTCTGTACACCTGAGGGACATCATCATGGATGGGTCAATATCCTGAGTGTTGCGAAAATGCAGGTTTGGTCAAGTCAGTGAGAAAAAGTGACTCACATTTTGTTCAGACTTTTGTTTTTGAGAAATTCTGGATGGAACCAGGAATCCTTCGGCATTGCTGGTGTACAAACAGAGGTCAGTCAGTGGTGTGGAGGCCAGGGATCTCAAAATAGATTTAAGATCCCATAACCCCCTGTGAAATCCACAATAATGCGGGGTTGTTTAGTCAGAAATACCCTCCTGTCTCATCACTCTGGACAGATCAGAAGATAAAACTTAGCAAAGTTTGATAGAAAAGAAACAGGAATGAGCAATGCAACCCACTTGAGTGTATTCAGGAATCCTTAACTAATGTTATTTTGACCACTTTGACATGCAACTTGACTCAGCAGAATTGTCAACGCCAGTCATAAAGATGGTGTGGGGGTGAACAACCTTTCTGTCCGATGATTAAGTGTTAGAAGATCAACTGCATCAATCAAATAAGCACAGAGGATGACTGAAAACGATCAGTCAATGAACAACTCGAGGGAGACCGAAGAGATAAGACTTGACAGGAGCCAGACCAATGTCCACTGATGGAGGACAATATCGTAAAGAAGAAATTGCCTGGTTTAAGCCTCTTCCAGTATGTCATGAAAAAGAGAGTGCTGTTTTAATCAGAAAACGTGTCTGGTGCAGCATCCCAGCAAGGAAAAGAGTACATATTTTAACACAGCAGCCTTCCAGGAAGAAATTCAGGTGATTAAAGATTCTCCAGAAAAGCTAATAGGTTAGCAAAGAATCTAGAAAGAAGGGTATCCAAGAGATAAATGATACCCCAGCAGAGAAATAACCGACAAATCAGAACCAGGGTCAAAAGGCCAAAGATTTAAATGTTATATAGTTGTATATGTGACTGCATTATGTGTGTTCTATGGGGAAAGGTTGTTTGGGTAGAGATGTTGTAAAAGGAGTTCTGAAGGCGTTCATGTTCATGTTACATTGGCTCCACCCATTCTACCGATGACACACACACTGTGAGTGGAGACATGGAAGTTTCTGGAAGGAGCAGATGTATCTACACCAGCTCCCTAAGGTTCTGGTCATTGTGGGTGACCAAATGAGGTTGTACTTATTGCTATCATGCAATAAACCTTCTTGTTATCCAAGAACAGTGTCTCTACTGTATATACTCTTTGGTGGTATATCCTCTAATACTCATCACTAGATAGGCCCAAGACAAAACAAAGACAAAGGAGGATTGGTGGCCTTGAACTACCACCCTCAACCCTTACCTAGTCCCTCAACCCTTACCTAGTACCACATATTGGGAAGAAATCGCAAACAACACAAAGTTTGAGAGTGGTTTTCTGAGCAAATGCCACAGTGCCAAAATTGGGAGAACTGTCTTACAGACTAACCAAGCAACAACTTGACATATGCATACTCATGGAATTATAGCTTATAGAAAGTATCTCAACAGCGTCACCTGTTCCTGGAAATGTCCTGTCCCACTGGCAGAGGTGGCAGCACGGTGGTATACAGTCAGCACGGAGTTTCCGTGGGAGTCCTCAACATTGACTTTGGACCTCATGATGTCTCATGGCTTCAGGTTAAATGTGGGCAAGGAAACCTCCTGCTGATTGCCACCTACTTCCCTCTGTCAGGGTTCCTCCAACACTTAGGAAGCACTGGAGGAAGCAAGGGGATAGAATGTACTCTGTGCTGGAAACATCAATGTCCATCACTAAGAGTGACTCGGTGCTGTGTGCCAATCACCAGCAGAATTGTGCTCCACCACAAACTGTAACCTCATGGCCCGGCATATCCCCCACTCTACCTCTACTGTCAAGTCAGGGGAGCAATCCTGGTTCAATGAAGAGTGCAAGAGGGCACAGGGCATACCTAAAAATGAGGTGTCAGCCTGGTGAAGCTACAACGCAGGTCTACTTGAGTGCCAAACAGGACAAACAGCTTACAGTAGACAAGCAGCAGACCAAATCTAAGCTCTGCAGTCCTGCCACATCCAATCATGAATGGTGGTGGACAATTCAACAACTCACTGGAGGAGGAGGCTCCACAAACATCCCCATGATGGGGGACCCCAGCACCTCAGTTCTAAAGATAAGGCTAAAGCAGTCATAGCAATCTTCGGCCAGAAGTGTCAAGTGGGTGATCCATCTCGGTCTCCTCCAGTGGTCTCAGATAACAGTCATCAGCCAATTTCGATTCACTCCTTGTGATATCAAGAAATAATTCAAGTCAATGGATACTTCAAAGGTTCTGGGCCCTGAAAACACTCAGTAATTGAACTGAAGACTTGTGCTTCTGAACTTGCCATGTCCCTTGGCTAAGCAGTTTCAGTACGGCTACAGCTCTGACATCCATCTGGCAATGAGGCAATAAAAATAAAATAAAACTTGCCCATAAAATAAAAACCATCTGACTTATTACTGTTTAGGCAGTCTACACTCAATCTTTAGCAGAGTAATGGAATGCATCAGCAACAGTACAACCAAGAGGTCCTTCTCTCTGATGTTCACTGTGGGTTCTGTCAGTGCTACTCAGCATTACACAAATATACACAACAAAGCCAAACTGATGAAGTGAGGTGACATCAAGGCAAGACTTGCCTGAGTTCCAACAAGCACACCTGGCACAAACTGGAGTCCAGGGTAATCAGAGCAGTGGCGATCCTGCCACACTGACTGGCATCACATTTAACATAAAGGAAAATGGTCGTGGTTGTTGGACATCAAACATTTCAGCTCCAGGGCATCTCTGCAGGAGTTTCTCAGGGTACAGTCCTA